CTCGTTTCAGGTTCGTTTGTTGTCCGATTGTTGTCCGATTGTTGTCCGATTGTTGTCCGATTGTTGTCCGATTGTTGTCCGATTGTTGTCCGATTGTTGTCTGATTGGGTGTTTAGTTTCTTTTGTCGCTTTTATTTTTTTAATTTTTGTAGTGTTACTTTATTAATTAAATTTGGTTCCATATTTCTTTATGGTAATAAATATACAAATTAAGTTTTATTTTAATTTTATTGTTTTAGTTCCTTAAGATTAAGGTTATAATTTGACCAGTCTGGGTCCAGCCAGACTTGCACTGATCCAATAGTTGAATATAATCCCAGGGATTAGATTAAGTTGAATATAATCCCAGGGATTAGATTAAGTTGAATATAATCTCAGGGATAAGATTAAGTTGAATATAATCTCAGGGATTAGAATAAGTTGAATATAATCCCAGGGATTAGATTAGACATCCCTGTCTGGACTTACATATGTATATGGTGTTATATGTGTGTCATGTGATTGATATGTGTGTGGTGTGATCAGTGTGTCATGTGATCAGTGTGTCATGTGATATGTGTGTCATGTGATATGTGTGTGGTGTGATATGTGTGTGGTGATATGTGTGTGGTGTTTTATGTGTGTCATGTCATATGTGTGTGTCATGCGATATGTGTGTGGTGTGAAGGAGATTATATTGTGAATGTAAAATTCTACATACGTGTCCATACAGGAGATGGTTCCTTTAATAGCATCGATGCACGTGCACTGACTGGTACAGCCGTTGTCAATAAACTGATTTTGTAGGTACTGTCTCCCGTTGTACTCACACACACCTAGGTTTGAAGGTCAGAGGTCAGATACAATGTCTCGCTAAATGTTGTAAACACCATGTGCTGTAAGCATAAAGTTCTTTGGACGGTTGAGAAACTTACTTTGTCCATCAGCATTGACGCCGGGTGATGTGACGGTGAACGTGTTTGTCGTTGATTCAAAATGGCAGACTGGTTCTAGACAGCACTCACCCTCCCTGTGTATCAGCGTGCAGTAGGGTGGCACGTGGTGGTACAGATCACACCTGCCAGAGAACAGTTCACACATGTCATCATATCTTTTATTATTTGGATACACATCATATCTTTTATTATTATTATTCCAAACTCAATAATTTATCTGCATATCAGATTCTGGATGTTTCTATTTTTTACAATCTCAAGTTGTCAATATGTGAATGTGGTTAATGGATAAATTATAGATTTTGTGTCATAATGTACTACATTATCTATCAGTGCGTCAGGAGCCGATATATTTGGACATAAGACAGAGAGACCGAGACTTCTTACTGTGAGGTACATTCAAATTTGCCGTGTTGAGCGTCCGTGCAGACACATTCGTACTCACAGCCATCTTGCCACTTCTCCCCTTGGTTGTAGAGTTTTGACTTGTACATGCATTTGTTTTCTGAAATTGTAGAGTTTTGTCTTGTACATGCATTTGTTTTCTGAAATTGTAGAGTTTTGACTTGTACATGCATTTGTTTTCTGAAATTGTAGAGTTTTGACTTGTACATGCATTTGTTTTCTGAAATTGTAGAGTTTTGACTTGTACATGCATTTGTTTTCTGAAATTGTGGAGTATAGATTTGAGGAAAAGTTTCTTATGTCAATCAAAGACGAGACGACACAACGTTAAATAGTTGTCTATGAAAACAAATTTTATTAAACTTGAATTAATAGGTCGAGTAATATATGTTCGTAAACTGATGCCTTAGTCAAAATAGTAGTGTGTGTGTGTGTAAGGGGGTGTCTGTAACACCAACTGCAGCTGTTATCAATAAAATATACTGATCAGAACAAAATACACCATTCACCAAAGTAGACTGAGGTGACACCACATTGGAAAATTGCAAATCAACAAATCAATCGATGCTTGGAGGTGACTTCTGCTGATCAATGCTACATTTTTTATAGTGTAATACAACAGTCTGCGAGCGTGAAAGTGTGTCAAGAAAAGTCCCCCCACCCCCTGATCGAATACCCCCCCCCCGGACATCTCTCGCGCCACTACCCCCCCCCCCCCCTCCCCTTTCGAGCAATTACCCATCTATCAATTAACCCCCCCCTCCCACCTTCCCGCCATACCCAAAGAAATGCCAGAAAGAAACTCTACATGCAGTTCGCTTTTAATATCAGACACATAAATTAGGCGGTAATGTTAGTGTCTGTATTAGCAAGTACAGATGACGTCATTTATTACTGTGTATTTTTTCGGCATTGGATTTTTAATTATATGCTTACTATAGAATCAATGACGTCATTTTATTGTGTGTAGTTTTCCGGCTTTAGAACTGAACATGTTTCGTTTTGAAAAAATTTTATGTGTTACAAGTGACTTCGTGGAAAGTTTCGTTTTTCGTCGACTGTGAAAGTCTTCACTTTTCTTGTGTTTTCTCTATAGCGTTCAGAACAGACAGAAAGACAGAATAACGCAACTATTATTATCTAATTCTAATATATAGATCTATATATAAAGTTGAAACGGACTCTGTTATGTGTCAGATCCGTGAAGGCATGCATGTAGTAAAAAATACTCTACTAGATCGCCGTAATATAATATTCTTAAAGCATTTATTATATAAATATATGGTTTAAAAAATAATATTGAAAGGCTTTTGTAAAAACTTTTGTAAAACAAGTTTTATTTTCCTAACTAACCATTAATTAACGTCATAAGGAATAAACAAAGTCATGGAAAATGTATCATCCTTCACAAAACTTTAAAAAGGGTACAAATTACATCCCTTTGTTCCTTTAGTACCAATTAGGTCTACTTTCGTTGATAGATCACAAGGAAAAAAAAGTACTTCCCTTTTAAAAAAACATACTTTTTATTAATTTGTTTGGGTGTTGGAAAGAAATGGTTTTATAATTAGCATGGATTGATAAAGTGCTATGTTGTAGGTAAAACACGGGTATTTAAAATACTGCCTTTTATTTATTTTAACACGTTTTTCTTAACTCAGCTTCGCGTTTGTTTGTTTGGATGTTTGTTGTTAAAATTGACATCGAAAATTAGCCCACTTCTGATTGCTCTAGAGATCTGAAATTTGGCATGTAGGCTACTTTCGCCTAACAATTTCAGATGCAATCATAAAAACTAGCAATTAGAGACCGTAATTAGCTTAATTTAATTACGCCCCAAGGACCATAAAATTGAGGACATGATTTCTAAAGATACCGACAAGACTGGAGGCCTATTGACACAGTTACTTCGGCCCCAATCGATGTGAGCGCGCTGGCCGTGATCGTATAGCGGTTAGTACTTCGCGTTGTGGCCGCGACAACCCAGGTTCGAATCCTGGTCGCTCAAGATTTTTAGTCCGTGTATTTATAAACACTTAGTCAAGTCATACTTAATCAAGTCATTAGATAAAGTAGAAAATAAACTATATAAAAAACTTTCTTAAAAACCACGTTTTTCATGTGTAGCAACGGACTAAAAAGGAGAAAATAAAATACTTAAAAAAAACTTTAAAAAAAACCACGTTTTTCTTGTGGACTAAAAAGTAGAAAATAAATTTTCATCTATTTGATGACAAAAAACGTGGGCCGGGCAGATGGGTCGGGAAATTTGATGGTGAACGTACCCACGTTGTTGGTCATCAAATGTATGAAAATTTATTTTCTACTTTTTAGTCCACAAGAAAAACGTGGTTTTTTTTAAAGTTTTTTTTAAGTATTTTATTATACACTGAACGTACTGTTTACTAATTATTATTTTTAATCAATAACAGTGTAGAAGCAGTTCCTAAATGTCCTATATGGCCACTTCAATCTTTCCGTTTGCGGACAAGCTGGGGTTATTATAGTCCTTCACTAAATAGAATCAGGTGCGTCCGCCTGTACCCCTGCAAGGTGCGATTTGGAGCCCTGGGCTATCATGTGAGTGCTAAGGTGTATACATTTGTTTTAAATAAAAGGAGTTACTATAGTCGTTCACTAAATCGTATCCAGGGTGTCCACTGGCGCCCCGACAGGGTGCTATTTGGCGCCCCGGGGCATCATGTAGCGCTATGGCGCCTACGTTCGATTTAAATGGAGCGATAGACTATGGATAAGAAGGGTTACTACACTCCTTCACTAACACTAAATCAAATCCGGGCATCCGACAGCGTACTATTTGGCGCCCCGGGCATTCCCGTTAGCGCTTTGGCACTTACGTTTGGGTTAGCGAGTTCAATAGACTATGGATAAAATGGGGTATTATAGTCGTTTACTTAGTTGAATCAGGTGGTTGCACCGGCGTCCCGACAGGGTGCGATTTGGCGCACCGGGCTATAATGTGAGTACTATGCGTTTATGTTAGCATATAAATTTGTGTTTATGTTCCGCATCATTGTTTCGTTTAGGTTTGCGTTTATATTTGCGTTTGCATTTATGTTTTGTGCTTTATGTTTGTGTTTGCGTTTTTTACTTTCTCGTATATACGTAGTATAGAGAAAGTATTGTAATCGTGCAAAAAAAAAAATCGAGATTTTTACAAATCTCGACGTTTTACACCTCACTGATACGGAAAAACATAATTTTGCAATCTTGTCCGTATGTCTGTGTGTGTGTGTGTCTGTGTGTCTGTGTGTGTGTCCGTGTGTAAACACGATAACTTGAGTACCGTTACAGCTAGGTTGATGAAATTTCATATATAAGTATTATATCAAAATCGTAGATCCGTATCAACTTTTGAGCGATTTCCGACAACCGGAAGTGGTACTTTTTCTACTTTGAATTTTTCAAAAGCCTATAACTTGAGTACTATTTCAGATAGATAAATGAAATTTCACATGTAAGTAAAAGATCTAATTCTCTACCTTCTGTTAAATTTTGAGTAATTTCCGTTGACCGGAAGTAGTAATTTACGCTACTTCCGATTTCTCAAAAAACTAATGTAAATTTTAAAAGTACTAATAATATTGCGCACTATTATGCGCTTTTTTTATTTCGCGTTCACTTGGTGTGCAATTAATTTGTCTACGAGATTTTATTCTATTTTTAAAACTTTAAGTATTTAAAATGGATTAAAAATCATGTCTATAGCCCGAGTTCCCATCCCCTGTTATTTTATATAAAAATATTCGAGAAAGTTTAGGGGAGATCACTCCCGGTTTTTTAGCGTTTGCTTTTGTTTGTGTTTGGATTTGTGTTAGCGCTTGCGTTTGTGTTTGTGTTTACGTTTGTGCTTTGGATTTGGTTGGTTGTGGTTTTGTTTAAAGTTAGAGTTAGGTTTATGGTTATGTGTTCTTTTATCAAACGGCCATGCCGGGTATATGCTGCTTAATAAACACACACGTCATGGTACTTTACGTTTAGGTTTTTCAAGTTCAGGGCCTGGCCGCGACCGCTAGTTTGTATAAAGCTAAAATGGACTCAGTGTCTCTGTATATATAAGGCGGACCCGTGGAAGACATGCATATAGTAAAAAAAACTTGATCGCCGTAGAGTAATACTCTTAAAGTGATTACTTTTTAAATAAAATCGAAATGGATGATTAAAAAAACTCTACATTGATAATTTTTAAACTAAGTTTTTATTTTTTAACTAATAATTTTGATTGACATAACGTGAAAAGAACGAATTTAAAATGAATCAATTACTCTTTACAAAGGTTCCAATTTTGTTTGAAAAAAAGTATACAAATTACGTACCATTGTACCAAATACATATCTTAATTATAAAATAAAGCTAGAGCGATTCCCCCCCCCCTAAATTTACTCGAATATTCCTATATAACACTACGGGGAATGCAACTCGGGATAAAGACATGATTTTTTATCAATTTTTAATAACTTCAACTTTTAATAATGGAATAGAATCTCGTATAAAACAATGCGCACCAATTAAACAGCAAACAATATGTGTGTAATAGTGTGGTATATTATTGCTTTTTTATTTCATATGCGTTTTTTTTAAATTACAAATAGTGTAAAGCACTATTTCCGGTCAAAGGAAATTACTCAAAATTAGAAAGAAGGCGGAGAAATAGATCTTTCACTTATATGTGAAATTTCGTCTATCTATCTGAAACAGTACTTAAGTTATAGGCTTTAGAAAAATCAAAAGAAAAATAAGCTCCACTTCCGGTTATCGGAAATTGCTGAAAAGTTGATACACACACATACACAGACATGCGGACAAAATTGCAAAACAGTTTTTCCGACTCAGGAAGGAGTAAAACGTCCAGATTTTTGAACATTTCGAATTTTCGCATGATTACAATACTTCATTTTTACTTCGTATACGAGAAAGTAAAAATGAATAAATAAAATAACAGTTTATTTAAATGTTTGTTTTAATAATTATATTTGCGTTAGCGGTTCTGTTTGCGTTTGTTTTATGATTGCGTTTGCGTTAATGTTTATGTTTGCTTTTTTAACTGTGTTACGTTTGTGTTTTTGTTTGCGTATGCTTCTGTGTTTCAGCTTGTGTTTTTGTTCGAGTTTGCCTTTGTGTTTAAGTTTGTGTTTGAGTTAATATTTACGTTGATGTATGTGTTACATTGATGTTTGTGTTTTTGTTAGTGTTCTCGATTGCGTTTGATTTTTTGTTTGTGTTTGCTTTTATGTTTGGGTTTGTGTTTTGGTTTGCATTTGTATTAGCGTTTGTGTTTGCATTTGTGTTTTTATTTTGTTTTAGTTGTTGTTGTGTTTGGTTGTGGTTTGGGTTAAGTTTACGGTTAGGTTTAGGATTATACGTCCATATTTGCATATAGACATTTAATTGGAAAAGTAATATATTTCCTAAACCAGAGCAATACCGGGTATATGCTGCATAAAAAACACACAAGTCACGGTTCTTTACGGATAGGTTTTTCACAGGGGCCAGTGCAGGGCCTGGCCGGGACGGATAGTATATTTAATAATGAAGAGATTAAACAAATGTAAAATAAATTACTATTCTATAAAATATTTTACTAGGAAATAATCGTATATAACTGTATTGTATAAACTTGGTGCTTATTTTCTGCTTTGTTCTTTGCTTCCATTAAAAATTTTCACCTTCAAATAAAAAATCGGCTGCGTTGTATTTACAGTTGTTGTTTTCTTTGCTCTTCTTAACACAAGTACAGATGTGTAGCTAATATATGTATATATAAAATAATATGCTTTCCATAAAGTATATAAATATATAAACACGTATTTTTACTCACGTAATCCAGAAAATAAGCCATTCAAGTCTGAAAAAGATGATTATAAGTAAATATAATAACTGAGGTCTGTTCTGTGGTTATCATGCAGTAATGGTCCACTTTTTATTACATGTCGGCCTATGTTATACCGTTTGTAATTAGGTAATTTCTGTTAATGTTACACCACATCAATAAGGTTTCTTAATACATCGAAGAAATACATTGACAAAATAACGCTATACACCAAATAAATAAATACACAAAAATATCACTATACACAATAAATAAATAATTACACAAAAATAACACTATACAATAAATAAATAAATACATAAAAATAACACTCTAAACCAAATTCATAAATACACAAAAATATCACAATACACCAAATATATACATACACAAAGATAACACTATATACCAAATACATAAATATCACTATACCAAATATATACATACATAAAAATAACACTATATTATTATACCTTACACATACACAAAATGTAAACGACCACTAGTCAACCTGAGAGCAATCACGATAAAGAAGCTTAAGCCGTAATCCTTATCCTAACCCTAACCCTAATCCTTATATTGGTCTAAGCGTATCCCTCATCTTACCACAATATCCGCACATAAGTGCACAGTTTTCTGTGAAAAATGGGGAAAATTCCTTGCAGTCGTTGGTCTCATAGGATGTGCAGTTGTTCAATTTGTCTTTGCAGGTCGGATATGTAACCAATGAGGTCGGCAAGAGGGCTGTGAAACAATGACTGATATCAATGTGCATAGAACTGATTGTATGCAACAAAAAATACGTTTTCTCTATTCAAAAAGAGTGATTATAAACATCTGTAATACTGGAAAAGGCTACTTACCATTATAAACATCTGTAATACTGGAAAAGGCTACTTACCATTATAAACATCTATAATACTGGAAAAGGCTACTCACCATTATAAACATCTGTAATACTGGAAAAGGCTACTTACCATTATAAACATCTATAATACTGGAAAAGGCTACTTACCATTATAAACATCTGTAATACTGGAAAAGGCTACTTACCATTATAAACATCTGTAATACTGAAAAAGGCTACTTACCATTATAAACATCTGTAATACTGGAAAAGGCTACTTACCATTACACAGACCGCACGATCTTGCGCATGCGTCTTTTGCTATTTCTGGAAACTGCGAACAAAAGTCACATCCGCCATCTTTGTTTTTGTAAACAACACAATTTGGATAATTGTCAACACACGTCTCGTTGAAATGAGCTGTAAAAATATATGCTTTCTTATAATGTGCTTTTTTAAACACAAGTTTCATGTATATGCTGATGCTAGTTATTTCTGGATCTAGACCAAATTTTCTTCCTTATGCTAATGATATAAGACCAAACTTTCTTCTATAAGCTAATTTTACGATACTAGACCAAACTATCTTCTATATGCTGATATTAGTAGACGCAGAGGCGTCGCGAGGCGGGGGTGGGAGGTGCGGATCGCACAGGGTCAGTGGCGTAGCGAGGTCGGGTGTCACCCGGTGCGGCACTTAATGGTGTCACCCCCCCCCCCAGAGGCATAGAGACCCTTCCCAGGGACAAACTTTCAAATTTTCGATTTGCACCCCCCCTCCTCAAACTTTCGATTTGCACCCCCCCCCCCCCTCAAGTTTTCGATTTGTACCCCCCCTCAAGTTTTCGATTTGCACCCCCCCCCCCCTCGAGTTTTTCTCTATATATTTTGCTATTTTTTGCCTTGGTATCACCCCCCTAAATGGTGTCACCCGGTGCGGTCCGCACCCCCGGCCCCCCCTCGCTACGCCCCTGCACAGGGTGACACCATTTAAGATTGTGACACCATGGCGAAAAATTGCAAAATATATAGAACAAATATGCATATTTTTCAGTTCAATTAATGATTAATTAGAGTTAATCCACCTGTATTAATAACTGACTATAGGTAAACATCTTTACTTTTAACTGCAAACTTTAAAGCTATCACCCTGGTGGGGGTGGGGTGACACCAAACACAAAATGTACAGAGGAAAAAACGTTTTGTTAAATATTTTGAAGTCCATCAACGATCGGGTGACATCAAAATCTAATATTTTATTTTCGGAGGGGGTGACACCATGAAGTGGCATCCGACCTAGCGACGCCACTGAGTCGACGAAAATAGTAAAATAGAAATTCTTGTCACACAACATTCTCGTGAAAGGTCTAGTTGAACTTCTCAAGAGGTTAAGTGAAAAACTCATGAAAATTATAACTTGGGGTAAGGGATAGTAATGAACTTGGCCTAAAGTTCAGGGTTATCCGTTCAATTACGAAACCACTCCTACCCCATCAATCGTGCTCTTGGGAGGTGTGATGTTTGTTGTACAGTGTAGTATGGTGTTATGATTATGATTGTGGTACAGTGTAGTATGGTGTTGTGATTATGATTGTGGTACAGTGTAGTATGGTGTTATGATTGTGGTACAGTGTAGTATGGTGTTATGATTGTGGTACAGTATAGTATGGTGTTATGATTGTGGTACAGTGTAGTATGGTGTTACGATTGTGGTACAGTGTAGTATGGTGTTATGATTGTGGTACAGTGTAGTATGGTGTTATGATTGTGGTACAGTATATTACGGTGTTATGATTGTGGTACAGTGTAATATGGTGTTGTGATTATGATTGTGGTACAGTTTAGTTGTTGTTATTGTGGTACAATGTAGTATGGTGTTGTGATTGTGGTACAGTGTAGTATGGTGTTATGATTGTGGTACAGTGTAGTACGGTGTTATGATTGTGGTACAGAGTAATATGGTGTTGTGATTAAGATTGTTGTACAGTGTAGTATGTTGTTATTGTGGTACAATGTAGTATGGTGTTATGATTGTGGTACAGTGTAATATGTTTTTATGATTGTGGTACAGTGTAGTATGGTATTATGATTGTGGTTCAGTGTAGTACGGTGTTGTGATTGTGGTACAGTGTAGTATGGTGTTATGATTGTGGTACAGTGTAGTACGGTGTTATGATTGTGGTACAGAGTAATATGGTGTTGTGATTAAGATTGTGGTACAGTGTAGTATGTTGCTATTGTGGTACAATGTAGTATGGTGTTATGATTGTGGTACAGTGTAATATGTTGTTATGATTGTGGTACAGTGTAGTACAGTGTTATGATTGTGGTACAGTGTAGTATGGTGTTGTGTTACTTACTTATGATTGGTGTTGTGTTACTTACTTATGATTGGTGTTGTGTTACTTACTTATGATTGGTGTTGTGTTACTTACTTATGATTGGTGTTGGTGTTACTTACTTATGATTGGTGTTGTGTTACTTACTTATGATTGGTGTTGTGTTACTTACTTATGATTGGTGTTGTGTTACTTACTTATGATTGGTGTTGGTGTTACTTACTTATGATTGGTGTTGTGTTACTTACTTATGATTGGTGTTGTGTTACTTACTTATGATTGGTGTTGGTGTTACTTACTTATGATTGGTGTTGTGTTACTTACTTATGATTGGTGTTGGTGTTACTTACTTATGATTGGTGTTGTGTTACTTACTTATGATTGGTGTTGTGTTACTTACTTATGATTGGTGTTGGTGTTACTTACTTATGATTGGTGTTGTGTTACTTACTTATGATTGGTGTTGTGTTACTTACTTATGATTGGTGTTGTGTTACTTACTTATGATTGGTGTTGGTGTTACTTACTTATGATTGGTGTTGTGTTACTTACTTATGATTGGTGTTGTGTTACTTACTTATGATTGGTGTTGTGTTACTTACTTATGATTGGTGTTGTGTTACTTACTTATGATTGGTGTTGGTGTTACTTACTTATGATTGGTGTTGTGTTACTTACTTATGATTGGTGTTGTGTTACTTACTTATGATTGGTGTTGTGTTACTTACTTATGATTGGTGTTGGTGTTACTTACTTATGATTGGTGTTGGTGTTACTTACTTATGATTGGTGTTGTGTTACTTACTTATGATTGGTGTTGTGTTACTTACTTATGATTGGTGTTGTGTTACTTACTTATGATTGGTGTTGTGTTACTTACTTATGATTGGTGTTGGTGTTACTTACTTATGATTGGTGTTGGTGTTACTTACTTATGATTGGTGTTGGTGTTACCATCGTTTCCTGCACTGAAAGAAAAAACAGCACCAATCAATCAATTAATCAATCAATTATTCAATCAATCAATTATTCAATCAATTATTCAATCAATTATTCAATCAATTATTCAATCAATTATTCAATCAATTATTCAATCAATTAATTACTCCATATAATTGGTCAATGAAATCATTAAAATCAAATATTTCCTTATTACCTGTGGTCTGGGATCAAAGATATGGAGTTAAAGGTTGAGATGAAGAAGTCAATAAACAAATTAAATTCTAACTCACTAGCTTCATCTACCATGACATGGTGAGACAAGTATATATTGAGACAAAGAAGATTTAGCGAGACAGTGAATTAAATCATTAAGTGAACTAGTGAATTGAATGATTAAGTGAGAAAGTGAATTGAATGATTAAGTGAAACAGTGAATTGAATGATTGAGTGAGACTTGAATGATGAAGTAAGACACTAAATTGAATGATTAAGTGATACAGTGAATTGAATGATTGAGTGAGACTTGAATGATGAAGTAAGACACTAAATTGAGTGATTAAGTGAGACATTACCGATGCAGGTCGTGTTGAGGATTGGTTCAATTAGGTGCGTCAATCCCTCGAAGTCTGTAGCACGAAACACGTAGTCCCTGTTTCCTGTGAATACATTATGACGTCATTAGTCAAGTTTAAATAGACACGTGGTGTCTCACCTTGATTTGTCATCTCAATGACCATATGATGCGTGGTGAACTGAGCTCAATGACCATATGATGCGTGGTGAACTGAGGCAAAAAATGATTTATAATCAATTTTTAATTACTTAAAATTTTAAAATAGAATAGAATCTCTTAGAAAAAAGAATTGCACACCAAGTGAACAGTAAACAATGTGTGTATAACAGTGCGGAATATTAGTACTTTATAAATTCATATGGCTTGTTGTTGTTTTTTTTCGTTTTTTTTTTTTTTTGTTTTTTTTTGAGAAATCGGAAATAGCGTAGAGTACTAGATCTACTTCCGGTAAACGGATATCACTAAAAAAATTGACCAAAAGCAGAGAATTAGATCTTTTACTTATGTTTGATTTCGTCTATCTATCTAAAACAGTACTCAAGTTACAGGCTTTTAAAAAACCGAAAGTAGAATAAGTTCCATTTCTGGTTACCGGAAATCGCTAAAAAGTTGATACAGAACTACAAATTTGATATAAGGCCTAATACTTATAGAATCTATACGAAATTTCATCAACCTAGCTGTAACGTGTTCAACATATCGTGTTCACACACACACACACACACACACGCACGCGCGCACACACACACACACACACGCGGACAAAATTGCAAGACTATGTTTTTTACTTTCTCGTATATACGAAGTATAGAGAAAGTATTGTAATCGTGCAAAAAAAAAAAATTCGAGAATTTTACAAATCTCGACATTTTATACCTCACTGATACGGAAAAACATAATTTTGCAATATTGTCCGTATGTCTTTGTGTCTGTGTGTGTGTGTGTGTGTCTGTCCGTGTGTAAACACGATTACTTGAGTACCGTTACAGCTAGGTTGATGAAATTTCATATATAAGTATTTTATCAAAATCGTAGATCCGTATCAACTTTTGAGCGATTTCCGATAACTGGAAGTGGTACTTTTCCTACTTTGAATTTTTCAAAAGCCTATAACTTGAGTACTATTTCAGATAGATAAATGAAATTTCACATGTAAGTAAAAGATCTAATTCTCTACCTTCTGTTAAATTTTGAGTAATTTCCGTTGACCGGAAGTAGTAATTTACGCTACTTCCGATTTCTCAAAAGACTAATGTAAATTTTTAAAGTACTAATAATATTGCGCACTATTATGCACTTTTTTCTTTGGCGTTCACTTGGTGTGCAATTCTTTTGTCTACGAGATTTTATTATATTTTTAAAACTTTAAATATTTAAAATGGATTAAAAATCATGTCTATAGCCCGAGTTCCCATCCCGTTATTTTATATAAAAATATTCGAGAAAGTTTTGGGGAGATCACTCCCGGTTTATTTCAACTAAGGAAGGTGTCGAGATTTGTAGTTTGTAAAAATCACGATTTCCATTTTTCGGACGACTACAATAATTTCTCTATACTTCGTATACGAGAAAGTAAAAACGCGGTTTTAGCCGACGACGCGCAAATTTAGAAGCTTTCCGCTTGATATATTCTATAATAAAAGGGGCTTCTACAGTAATAGACTTGGAACTATTGAAAAGTAAAATTTTAAGCCCTCTAATTCTGCGTAATTTGATGGTTGTTGATATTACACAATGTATCTCATTTACCGATTGAAAACTATTACCGAGATTATATTCAACGGCAGACGCGCAACAGATGTTGACCCCACCCCATTCAACTCCCTGGAATTTTTTGGCCATTCAACGTATTTCTTTGTAGATAGGGTAAAATGTGCAGAATTACTCAAAATTTGATAGAAGGTAGAAAATTAGATCTTTTACTTACATGTGAAATTTTATTTATCTATGTGAAATAGTACTCAAGTTATAGGATTTTTAAAACTTCAAAGTAGAAAAAGTACCACTTCCGGTTATCGGAAATCGCTCCAAAGTTAATACGGATCTACGATTTTTATATAATACTTATATATGAAATTTCATTAACCTAGCTGTAACGGTACTCAAGTTATCGTGTTTACAAACACACACACACAGACAGACACACAGGCATACGGACAAGATTGCAAAACTATGTTTTTCCGACTCAGGGAGCCCTAAAACGTCGACATTTACAAAAATCTCAATTTTTTTTCGCACGATTACAAGACTTTCTCTATACTTCGTATGTACGAGAAAGTAAAAACTAAGTATTTGAAATGTAAGAAAAAAACGTGGCCACTGGCAAATGAATATGTAATTTTAACTCCGTATAAAATTTGTATTAGAATTTTCTGAATGGTCGTCCTTTATCTTTTAAAATACGAAAATTGAATATAATTTGTATGCATTACCCCCCCCCCACACACACACACACAAAGGGCACAAAACACACTATAGCGATCACTAAAATAGCTCTAGGCCCGGTCGAAAAAAATTGCCGTTTTCTTGGTACACAACGCACCACCAAGCTTTTCTAAATTAATGTTAGCAGCTTTACAGGCTTAGAGGTCATCCAATTATGACGTCACACGAACGGGGGTGGGGGGGGGGGGTGGGGGGGGGGGGTTGTCCGAGAAAAATAAAAATTTTTGGACGCGTGTGCAATTGGAGGAGGAGGTGTTGGGTCCATGTGGGCGGGAGGAGGTGTTGGGTCCACGTGTGCTTTCACATATTGAATTTAACAACAAAGTGCTTACAATTTAAAACAAACTAAAAACTGGTATCCTGCATGTAAAAAGTAAAATTAAGAAGAAATTAAAAATAATAACAACAGCGTGTAAATAAAGAACCGGGTTCATCCGTTTCATAAGCGTCATATGATTTTTTACGATTTTTACCTCCCCTCCCTCCCTCACTAATCTTCACTAAAAACCAGAAACCTAAAATGACGTCACATCTGAGCCTACCACAAGTCTCAAATCTCTAAATTTAAAAAAAAAAAAAAAAAATACGAAAATATTTATTGAGCATGGTTAGCGTTGAGTACGCCTCGATTGGTTTTCTTTTGAAGATTTGACGAAAATGAACTGCGTGAGGCAACTGTTTTAGTTCGGTCTCTAACATTATTGCAAAGTGTGTCCAACACTTTCTTAAATCCTCCGTCATTTATGGACGAGCCCTAATTTTTAAAAATAGCAACTCTTTAGAAAGCCAGCGATTAATGAACCAGAAATAGAAGCCATGAGCCCGAGGAGCGACTTATTAATCTCATAAATTCTAATCATTTAAATTCATGCAACGAGTACATAAAATAATACTGGGTTTCGAGTCTATAGTAGACAAGCGTGTCTGTGTGTGTGGTGGGGGGGGGGGGATAAAGGGGAAATCCGAAACTTTTGTGGATGTCATAAAAGTGTGACCTCTTAATATTTCATTAAAAGAAATGGGTAACATGTAGCTACATAATAAGCTAATAAGTTCGTCAGTCAAGTTTTTATTTATTTCTTTGGTATATATTTATTATGTAAGCTATATTCCATGACATTTTTCAGCTTTGTCTGATGAACTAAACCCCTCTTCACTAAATTTTTTTCTGATTTTGAAATGTTTTTGTCTGTTCTAAAAGAGGGCAGAGGCGTAGCGACCCTTCCCGGAGCCGGGGGACAAACTTTTAATTAGCCCCTCCCCCCCCCCCCCCCCCCAGGGACAAACATTCAATTTGGCGGCCCCCCCCCCCCCCATATTTTTTTTTATATTTATAATGCAAAGCTGCAGCTAAAATGAGCTTTAATTATTTTTTTCCAACCCATTTTGGCGCCCCCTATGCTCGGCGCCCAGGGACATATGAACTCTCTCCCCCCCCCCCCTTGCTACGTCTCTGAAAGAGGGTACTTTAAAAATCGTTTGCAACTTGATTTTATAATATTTTTAAAAATGCTGAATATTTTTATCAGCTAAATGTTGAAGATCATATAATCGTAGCTTTCGTCAACAATATATATGAAGAGAAGAAAAAAATTCATAAAAACGTTTTAATAACAAGCTTTTATGTACTAATGCACTAAAAAGTAGAAAATAAATTATAGACTACTATTTAAATAACGATAAAGAAAAGCGTGGACCACTTTAGTATGTATTAGATACCTTTTACTAATATTTGACAAGAGACTCACGCTTTTCTTTATAGTAATTTAAATAGTAGTCTATAATTTATTTTCTACTTTTTAGTGCATTAGTACATAAAAGCTTGTTATTAAAACGTTTTTTATGAATTTTTTTTTCAATACTTTACATGTTTTATTTACAATAGAGTTACATGACTAAAAACCATTGCGCGTCTATTGAACGGGATGGCGCAGCTATTGAACCTGATGGCGCAGCTATTGAACGTGATGACGCGTGTGGTGTGGTTGGAAGGACATGGCTACTAATTCGGTCCAAATTTTAATAAATCATAAAAAATTAATTAGGCACCCAATGAAGTCAAATTATATTTCATATTGCATTGTCTTTATGTCTTGTCCCACGTGCAAACTGTGAACCGGATCGGTCAAGTAGAAGTGTCCGAATTTTCACTCCGGCGTTTCGATATAGACTGACGACAGACTGACGAGGAAGTGAGTTAAATTACTGTTGTAACAATGTACGCATATATTCGTTAGGGTTCGCTTGATCAGGGCATATAAACTAAGTAGAGAACTGTAAAATACGTATCTATGTTGAGAAAAGTTATACGTATATTTATTTGAAGACGTGAATGAAATTAATAATGTTTTCGTAAAAAAACACTTTTAATTATACAAGTTAAGAACAAGTACTTTATTTTCACAAAAAATCTTCAACGGAATAGAAAGTTTAAGCCTGGTGCATTTCAAAGCTAAATGTTGTGTCGGCTTTAGATTTAACGATGTCTGTTTAATATATATATTTAGTTTGAACACTACTATCATTTTTCAATAGGATTTATATAGATCTACCGATACGTTAAATTTTATTTTTTAAACTGTAGGAGAACCCAAAGTTTAATTAGTTAAAAACAAAAAACAAGTATAAAAAACAGTTATCCACAAGATAATGGGTGGTCTAGTATTTATAAGATACAGGTACACCGGCTGAGGAATTGCGAATACATTTTCTTACTTTAAACTGCGCTACTGGTCCTAGAGACTAATAATTACTTCGACAAGAAATATTTTTCTGTATGTGACTGTTGTGGGCACACGTATAAGACAAATAACCACAAACGGGTTACAAAACAAGACTGAATGAAAACAAAACTATTCTAACAACAAAATACACAAGCTAGTAAACCTACGATACAGTGGCTAAAAACTAGTATAGACCTAACCTTGGAGATCTGGACGAAACTAAGGCCATCACACACGATTTTCATACACCTTATACACCCTTTCATAAACTGGTACCAACCGGACTATTACAACTCACGGCACGAGAGAACTGAACAAGGACGAACGGGATAGGGTACCAAGTACAAACAACATTCACCCCACCCATCCCCCTTCACTCGTTCACTACAGTGACGGTTATATTGCCCCAGCTACCATTGGATTGCATATAAATAAGTAGTTGACACAAAGACCGGTGAATGGTGACCCGTCAAAAGAGCGCACGACAAAAGAGCGCCGACATAAGAGCGCAGACGAAAGAGCGCCGACATAAGAGCGCCGACATAAGAGCGCCGACATAAGAGCGCCGACATAAGAGCGCAGACAAAAGAGCGCCGACATAAGAGCGCAGACAAAAGAGCGCCGACATAAGAGCGTAAACCAATTTAAAAAATACATGTTGTGCGCTAAACGAATATGACATGGTTAACACTTGTTTTAATTAAACAATCGGAGGTACGATGAAACGACGTGTTTATTTATATAGTATGGTTAATATGTTATGAATGCAGTTTGAAAATATTTCTAACTCAAGTAACATGGAGAAGATCGAATCGCAGAAATTGAATGTTATTATATTGGTCGAAGGCTACAGATGTCGAATGATAGTGAAGATGTTGCTTGCCTTAAGTTTTGTTCCTGTAAATGATGTATGTACTGCATTCGAGCATTGGTAGAAGCTAGTCCAGCAGAAATAATACCATTGGTAGATTGTTGGGAGGAAAAGGAAAAACCGTCGAGGTGACCCGCGCTTCGCTCTTTTGTCTGCGCTCTTATGTCGGCGCTCTTATGTCGGCGCTCTTATGTCGGCGCTCTTTTGTCTGCGCTCTTATGTCGGCGCTTTTTTGTCGTGCGCTCTTTTGACGGGGTGCCCCCACAAAGACCACATAACTGTTTAGAGTTATAGTTACTCTGTATTTCCATATTGTCAAATAGGCCTATACTGTAAATGTCAAAATTTATTTAGTTTTTAATTTAAAAAGACGCATTTTTGACAGATTGTGAATCCCTGCTCTTCTATGATTAAACGTGTGTTTTAAATGTACATGTTATAGACATACAGGTTACATAATTTCAAAGAACTATTGTTTTTTTTTTTTAACTTCCCTTTTAATTTTATGAAAATGCATTTGTTTAAAATAATGTACATCTATTTGGGCTTGAAATACAAAATTGGGTTTATTCTCTGTGTGTGTGTGTATTTGTGTTTAGTTCAGAAGATTGAGTTTGTGTCATATATATTTTATAGGTATAAATCCTCAAACATGGCACTTTTTCAGTCGTCAAAATTAGTTAAAAACCAAAAATTTAAAACGTCATAGATTTTTGATTACTTGAGCTCCACTAACCTACCTGGTATCCACAGGCAACTTTTAAAACAGCTCTGGGACCGCCTTAAAAAATCGACTTGACATACCTACAATATGCTAGGTTTTGAACGGAGGGTGACACGATTTAAAGAGTGCTGAAGCCAACAACCCTTGCAGTTGTTGAGACATTTATTCCACGTAAATGTTCTCACCTGAGATTTGTTCCAGGTAAATGTTCTCACCTGAGATTTTTTCCAGGTAAATGTTCTCACCTGAGATTTGTTCCACGTAAATGTTCTCACCTGAGATTTGTTCCACGTAAACGTTCTCACCTGAAATTTGTTCCACGTAAATGTTCTCACCTGAGATTTGTTCCACGTAAATGTTCTCACCTGAGATTTGTTCCACGTAAATGTTCTCACCTGAGATTTGTCCCAGGTAAATGTTCTCACCTGAGATTTGTTCCAGGTAAATGTTCTCACCTGAGATTTGTTCCACGTAAATGTTCTCAACTGAGATGTGTTCCACGTAAACGTTCTCACCTGAGATTTGTTCCACGTAAATGTTCTCACCTGAGATTTGTTCCACTTAAATGTTCTCATCTGACATTTATTCCACGTAAATGTTCTCACCTGAGATTTTTTCCACGTAAATGTTCTCACCTGAGATTTGTTCCACGTAAATGTTCTCACCTGAGATTTGTTCCACGTAAATGTTCTCACCTGAGATTTGTTCCACGTAAACGTTCTCACCTGAAATTTGTTCCACTTAAATGTTCTCACCTGAGATTTGTTCCACGTAAATGTTCTCACCTGAGATTTGTTCCAGGTAAATGTTCTCACCTGAGATTTGTTCCAGGTAAATGTTCTCACCTGAGATTTGTTCCAGGTAAATGTTCTCACCTGAGATTTGTTCCAGGTAAATGTTCTCACCTGAGATTTGTTCCACGTAAATGTTCTCGCCTGAGATTTGTTCCACGTAAATGTTCTAACCTGAGATTTGTTTCACTTAAATGTTCTCACCTGAGATTTGTTCCACTTAAATGTTCTCACATGAGATTTGTTCCAGATAAATGTTCTCACCTGAGATTTGTTCCAGGTAAATGTTCTCACCTGAGATTTTTTCCAGGTAAATGTTCTCACCTGAGATTTGTTCCAGGTAAATGTTCTCACCTGAGATTTGTTCCAGGTAAATGTTCTCACCTGAGATTTTTTCCAGGTAAATGTTCTCACCTGAGATTTGTTCCAGGTAAATGTTCTCACCTGAGATTTGTTCCAGGTAAATGTTCTCACCTGAGATTTGTTCCAGCTCTGACTGGTCTATCTGAGAGCCGATGCCGACTGTGATGATGGCGATCCCGTTCTGTCTGGCTTGGTTGGCGGCATTGACAGCGTCGTCGTGATGGGTCGCTTGTCCATCTGCTCGAACAATACGGTTATCACGTGACTAGGAGGAGCTTGTGTAAACTCAATTGTGGCAAAATTAGGTCAATTTTTTTTTGTTCTTTGTAAGAAGCAGGAAAAAGGTTGCCATGACAACGGTTTAGTAAACAATACTGAACAAGCAATAAGAAGGCGCAGACACTGACTCGGGTCTAGTTATCTTCAACAATGGTATGGGGTACAAGTAATAGAGTACATGCCAGTTACCCGTGATGGATTGGAAGTGAGTTACCTGTGATAAAGTGGATATAGTTACATGTAAGGAGAATGTGGTTACCTGTAAGAAGGATGATGATTTTAGGAACACCTGCTCTAGCGCCCATCAGTGGACCAAACACGTCAGTCCTGATGTAGTTGATTGCCAGACCAGTCTCGGTGTTGCCTTTAAGGTAAGTCACGTGATCAACAGCTGACAGGGCGGTTAATCTAATGACGGCAACATATGAAAACATCAAATGGACATAGAGGACGGCGACATATGAAATCATCATATGGACATAGAGAATGCATGAAACAATCTGTATATAACATGAAACAATCTGTATATAACATGAAACAATCTGTATATAACATGAAACAATCTGTATATAACATGAAACAATCTGTATATAACATGAAACAATCTGTATATAACATGAAACAATCTTTATATAACATGAAACAATCTGTATATAACATAAAACAATCTTTATATAACGTGAAACAATGTGTATATAACATAAAACAATCTTTATATAACATGAAACAATCTGTATATAACATGAAACAATCTTTATATAACATGAAACAATCTGTATATAACATGAAACAATCTTTATATAACATGAAACAATCTGTATATAACATAAAACAATCTTTATATAACGTGAAACAATGTGTATATAACATAAAACAATCTTTATATAACATGAAACAATCTTTACATAACCACATGTACCTGTCAAAGTATCTATTGAGTGGGAACTCGAGGACAGGTTTAGCACTAAACTGTACCAAGCCGACGTGAACCATGTCCTGGCTTAGAGGTAGACGAGAGATCAAATTTTTCACGTTCTCTTTGGCGATCTGAAAGTTTGGCGCCGACACACTGCTTGAACCGTCCAAACAGATCACAATGTCGGCAGTCGACAGACAACCTGGGGGTCAAGTGTTGGGCAGGGGTCAATAGACAGTAGGGGGTCAAGTGTTGGGCTATATGCAGGGGTCAATAGACAGTAGGCGGTCAAGTGTTGGGCAGGGGTCAATAGACAGTAGGGAGTCAAGTGTTGTGCTATATGCAGGGGTCAATAGACAGTAGGGGGTCAAGTGTTGGACTATATGCAGGGGTCAATAGACAGTAGGGGGTCAAGTGTTGGGCTATATGCAGGGGTCAATAGACAGTAGGGGGTCAAGTGTTGGGCTATATGCAGGGGTCAACAGACAGTAGGGGATCAAGTGTTGGGCTATATGCAGGGGTCAATAGACAATAGGGGGTCAAGTGTTGGGCTATATGCAGGGGTCAACAGACAGTAGGGGATCAAGTGTTGGGCTATATGCAGGGGTCAATAGACAGTAGGGGGTCAAGTGTTGGGCTATATGCAGGGGTCAATAGACAGTAGGGGATCAAGTGTTGGGCTATATGCAGGGGTCAATAGACAGTAGTGGGGGGTCAAGTGTTGGGCTATATGCAGGGGTCAATAGACAGTAGGGGGTCAAGTGTTGGACTATATGCAGGGGTCAATAGACAGTAGGGGGGTCAAGTGTTGGGCAGGGGTCAATAGACAGTAGGGGGTCAAGTGTTGGGCTATATGCAGGGGTCAACAGACAGTAGGGGGTCAAGTGTTGGGCTATATGCAAGGGTCAATAGACAGTAGGGGGTCAAGTGTTGGGCTATATGCAGGGGTCAACAGACAGTAGGGGGGTCAAGTGTTGGGCTATATGCAGGGGTCAATAGACAGTAGGGGGTCAAGTGTTGGGCTATATGCAGGGGTCAATAGACAGCAGGGGATCAAGTGTTGGGCTATATGCAGGGGTCAATAGACAGTAGTGGGGGGTCAAGTGTTGGGCTATATGCAGGGGTCAATAGACAGTAGGGGGTCAAGTGTTGGACTATATGCAGGGGTCAATAGACAGTAGGGGGGTCAAGTGTTGGGCAGGGGTCAATAGACAGTAGGGGGTCAAGTGTTGGGCTATATGCAGGGGTCAATAGACAGTAGGGGGTCAAGTGTTGGGCTATATGCAGGGGTCAATAGACAGTAGGGGGTCAAGTGTTGGGCTATATGCAGGGGTCAATAGACAGTAGGGGGGTCAAGTGTTGGGCTATATGCAGGGGTCAATAGACAGTAGGGGGTCAAGTGTTGGGCTATATGCAGGGGTCAATAGACAGTAGGGGGGTCAAGTGTTGGGCAGGGGTCAATAGACAGTAGTGGGGGTCAAGTGTTGGGCTATATGCAGGGGTCAATAGACAGTAGGGGGTCAAGTGTTGGGCTATATGCAGGGGTCAATAGACAGTAGGGGGTCAAGTGTTGGGCTATATGCAGGGGTCAATAGACAGTAGGGGGTCAAGTGTTGGGCTATATGCAGAGGTCAATAGACAGTAGGGGGTCAAGTGTTGGGCTATATGCAGGGGTCAATAGACAGTAGGGGGGTCAAGTGTTGGGCTATATGCAGGGGTCAATAGACAGTAGGGGGTCAAGTGTTGGGCTATATGCAGGGGTCAATAGACAGTACGGGGGTCAAGTGTTGGGCAGGGGTCAATAGACAGTAGTGGGGGTCAAGTGTTGGGCTATATGCAGGGGTCAATAGACAATAGGGAGTCAAGTGTTGGGCTATATGCAGAGGTCAATAGACAGTAGGGGGGTCAAGTGTTGGGCTATATGCAGGGGTCAATAGACAGTAGTGGGGTCAAGTGTTGGGCTATATGCAGAGGTCAATAGACAGTAGGGGGGGTCAAGTGTTGGGCAGGGGTCAATAGACAGTAGTAGGGGGTCAAGTGTTGGGCTATATGCAGGGGTCAATAGACAGTAGGGGGTCAAGTGTTGGGCTATATGCAGGGGTCAATAGACAGTAGGGGGTCAAGTGTTGGGCTATATGCAGGGGTCAATAGACAGTAGGGGGGTCAAGTGTTGGGCAGGGGTCAATAGACAGTAGGGGGTCAAGTGTTGGGCTATATGCAGGGGTCAATAGACAGTAGGGGGGTCAAGTGTTGGGCAGGAGTCAATAGACAGTAGTGGGGGTCAAGTGTTGGGCTATATGCAGGGGTCAATAGACAATAGGGAGTCAAGTGTTGGGCTATATGCAGAGGTCAATAGACAGTAGGGGGGTCAAGTGTTGGGCTATATGCAGGGGTCAATAGACAGTAGTGGGGTCAAGTGTTGGGCTATATGCAGAGGTCAATAGACAGTAGGGGGGTCAAGTGTTGGGCAGGGGTCAATAGACAGTAGTGGGGGTCAAGTGTTGTGCTATATGCAGAGGTCAATAGACAGTAGGGGGTCAAGTGTTGGGCTATATGCAGGGGTCAATAGACAGTAGAGGGTCAAGTATTGGGCTATATGCAGGGGTCAATAGACAGTAGGGGGTCAAGTGTTGGACTATATGCAGAGGTCAATAGACAGTAGGGGGTCAAGTGTTGGGCTATATGCAGGGGTCAATAGACAGTAGGGGGTCAAGTGTTGGGCTATATGCAGAGGTCAATAGACAGTAGGGGGTCAAGTGTTGGGCTATATGCAGAGGTCAATAGACAGTAGGGGGTCAAGTGTTGGGCTATATGCAGAGGTCAATAGACAGTAGGGGGTCAAGTGCTGGGCTATATGCAGAGGTCAATAGACAGTAGTGGGGTCAAGTGTTGGGCTATATGCAGAGGTCAATAGACAGTAGTGGGGGTCAAGTGTTGGGCTATATGCCTGGGTCAATAGACAGTAGGGGGTCAAGTGTTGGGCTATATGCAGAGGTCAATAGACAGTAGTGGGGATCAAGTGTTGGGCTATATGCAGAGGTCAATAGACAGTAGGGGGTCAAGTGTTGGGCTATATGCAGGGGTCAATAGACAGTAGGGGGGTCAAGTGTTGGGCAGGGGTCAATAGACAGTAGTGGGGATCAAGTGTTGGGCTATATGCAGAGGTCAATAGACAGTAGGGGGTCAAGTGTTGGGCTATATGCAGGGGTCAATAGACAGAAGGGGGGTCAAGTGTTGGGCTATATGCAGGGGTCAATAGACAGTAGGGGGGGTCAAGTGTTGGGCTATATGCAGGGGTCAATAGACAGTAGTGGAGGTCAAGTGTTGGGCTATATACAGGGGTCAATAGACAGTAGTGGGGGTCAAGTGTTGGGCTATATGCAGGGGTCAATAGACAGTAGGGGGTCAAGTGTTGGGCTATATGTAGGAGTCAATAGACAGTAGGGGGTCAAGTGTTGGGCTATATTCAGAGGTCAATAGACAGTAGTAGGGGGTCAAGTGTTGGGCTATATGCAGGGGTCAATAGACAGTAGGGGGGTCAAGTGTTGGGCTATATGCAGGGGTCAATAGACAGTAGTGGGTCAAGTGTAGGGCTATATGCAGGGGTCAATAGACAGTAGGCGGTCAAGTGTTGGGCTATATGCAGGGGTCAATAGACAGTAGGGGGTCAAGTGTTGGGCTATATGCAGGGGTCAATAGACAGTAGTGGGTCAAGTGTAGGGCTATATGCAGGGGTCAATAGACAGTAGGGAGTCAAGTGTTGGGCTATATGCAGGGGTCAATAGACAGTAGGGGGTCAAGTGTTGGGCTATATGCAGGGGTCAATAGACAGTAGGGGAGTCAAGTGTTGGGCTCTTTGCAGGGGTCAATAGACAGTAGGGGTCAAGTGTTGGGCTATATGCAGGGGTCAATAGACAGTAGTGGGGGGTCAAGTGTTGGGTTATATGCAGGGGTCAATAGACAGTAGGGGGTCAAGTGTTGCGCTATATGCAGGGGTCAATAGACAGTAGTGGGGGGAAAAGTGTTGAGCTATATGCAGGGTTCAATAGACAAAAGGGGGTCAAGTGTTGGGCTATATGCAGGGGTCAATAGACAGTAGTGGGGGTCAAGTGTTGGGCTATATGCAGGGGTCAATAGACAGTAGTGGTGGTCAAGTGTTGGGCTATATGCAGGGGTCAATAGACAGTAGTAGGGGGTCAAGTGTTGGGCTATATGCAGGGGTCAATAGACAGTAGGGGGGTCAAGTGTTGGGCTCTTTGCAGGGGTCAATAGACAGTAGGGGGTCAAGTATTGGGCTATATGCAGGGGTCAATAGACAGTAGTGGGGGTCAAGTGTTGGGCTATATGCAGGGGTCAATAGACAGTAGGGGGGTCAAGTGTTGGGCTCTTTGCAGGGGTCAATAGACAGTAGGGGGTCAAGTGTTGGGCTATATGCAGGGGTCAATAGACAGTAGTGGGGGTCAAGTGTTGGGCTATATGCAGGGGTCAATAGACAGTAGGGGGTCAAGTTTTGGGCTAAATGCAGGGGTCAATAGACAGTAGGGGGGTCAAGTGTTGGGCTCTTTGCAGGGGTCAATAGACAGTAGGGGGTCAAGTGTTGGGCTATATGCAGAGGTCAATAGACAGTAGTAGGGGGTCAAGTGTTGGGCTATATGCAGGGGTCAATAGACAGTAGGGGGTCAAGTGTTGGGCTATATGTAGGGGTCAATAGACAGTAGGGGGGTCAAGTGTTGGGCTCTTTGCAGGGGTCAATAGACAGTAGGGGGTCAAGTGTTGGGCTATATGCAGAGGTCAATAGACAGTAGTAGGGGGTCAAGTGTTGGGCTATATGCAGGGGTCAATAGACAGTAGGGGGGTCAAGTGTTGGGCTATATGCAGGGGTCAATAGACAGTAGGGGGTTAAGTGTTGGGCTATATGCAGGGGTCAATAGACAGTAGGGGGGTCAAGTGTTGGGCCCTTTGCAGGGGTCAATAGACAGTAGGGGTCAAGTGTTGGGCTATATGCAGGGGTCAATAGACAGTAGTGGGGGGTCAAGTGTTGGGTTATATGCAGGGGTCAATAGACAGTGGGGGGTCAAGTGTTGGGCTATATGCAGAGGTCAATAGACAGTAGGGGGTCAAGTGTTGGGCTATATGCAGGGGTCAATAGACAGTAGGGGGGGGGTCAAGTGTTGGGCTATATGCAGGGGTCAATAGACAGTAGTGGGGGGGGTCAAGTGTTGGGCTATATGCAGGGGTCAATAGACAGTATGGGGGTCAAGTGTTGGGCTATATGCAGGGGTCAATAGACAGTAGGGGGTCAAGTGTTGGGCTATATGCAGGGGTCAATAGACAGTAGGGGGTCAAGTGTTGGGCTATATGCAGGGGTCAATAGACAGTAGTAGGGGGTCAAGTGTTGGGCAGGGGTCAATAGACAGTAGGGGGTCAAGTGTTGGGCTATATGCAGGGGTCAATAGACAGTAGGGGGGTCAAGTGTTGGGCAGGGGTCAATAGACAGTAGTGGGGGTCAAGTGTTGGGCTATATGCAGGGGTCAATAGACAGTAGGGGGTCAAGTGTTGGGCTATATGCAGGGGTCAATAGACAGTAGGGGGTCAAGTGTTGGGCTATATGCAGGGGTCAATAGACAGTAGGGGGTCAAGTGTTGGGCTATATGCAGAGGTCAATAGACAGTAGGGGGTCAAGTGTTGGGCTATATGCAGGGGTCAATAGACAGTAGGGGGGTCAAGTGTTGGGCTATATGCAGGGGTCAATAGACAGTAGGGGGTCAAGTGTTGGGCTATATGCAGGGGTCAATAGACAGTACGGGGGTCAAGTGTTGGGCAGGGGTCAATAGACAGTAGTGGGGGTCAAGTGTTGGGCTATATGCAGGGGTCAATAGACAATAGGGAGTCAAGTGTTGGGCTGTATGCAGAGGTCAATAGACAGTAGGGGGGTCAAGTGTTGGGCTATATGCAGGGGTCAATAGACAGTAGTGGGGTCAAGTGTTGGGCTATATGCAGAGGTCAATAGACAGTAGGGGGGGTCAAATGTTGGGCAGGGGTCAATAGACAGTAGTAGGGGGTCAAGTGTTGGGCTATATGCAGGGGTCAATAGACAGTAGGGGGTCAAGTGTTGGGCTATATGCAGGGGTCAATAGACAGTAGGGGGTCAAGTGTTGGGCTATATGCAGGGGTCAATAGACAGTAGGGGGGTCAAGTGTTGGGCAGGGGTCAATAGACAGTAGGGGGTCAAGTGTTGGGCTATATGCAGGGGTCAATAGACAGTAGGGGGGTCAAGTGTTGGGCAGGAGTCAATAGACAGTAGTGGGGGTCAAGTGTTAGGCTATATGCAGGGGTCAATAGACAATAGGGAGTCAAGTGTTGGGCTATATGCAGAGGTCAATAGACAGTAGGGGGGTCAAGTGTTGGGCTCTTTGCAGGGGTCAATAGACAGTAGGGGGTCAAGTGTTGGGCTATATGCAGGGGTCAATAGACAGTAGGTGGGTCAAGTGTTGGGCAGGGGTCAATAGACAGTAGTGGGGGTCAAGTGTTGTGCTATATGCAGAGGTCAATAGACAGTAGTGGGGGTCAAGTGTTGGGCTATATGCCTGGGTCAATAGACAGTAGGGGGTCAAGTGTTGGGCTATATGCAGGGGTCAATAGACAGTAGGGGGGTCAAGTGTTGGGCAGGGGTCAATAGACAGTAGTGGGGATCAAGTGTTGGGCTATATGCAGAGGTCAATAGACAGTAGGGGGTCAAGTGTTGGGCTATATGCAGGGGTCAATAGACAGTAGGGGGTCAAGTGTTGGGCTATATGCAGGGGTCAATAGACAGTAGGGGGGGTCAAGTGTTGGGCTATATGCAGGGGTCAATAGACAGTAGTGGAGGTCAAGTGTTGGGCTATATGCAGGGGTCAATAGACAGTAGTGGGGGTCAAGTGTTGGGCTATATGCAGGGGTCAATAGGCAGTAGGGGGTCAAGTGTTGGGCTATATGTAGGAGTCAATAGACAGTAGGGGGTCAAGTGTTGGGCTATATTCAGAGGTCAATAGACAGTAGTAGGGGGTCAAGTGTTGGGCTATATGCAGGGGTCAATAGACAGTAGGGGGGTCAAGTGTTGGGCTATATGCAGGGGTCAATAGACAGTAGTGGGTCAAGTGTAGGGCTATATGCAGGGGTCAATAGACAGTAGGCGGTCAAGTGTTGGGCTATATGCAGGGGTCAATAGACAGTAGGGGGTCAAGTGTTGGGCTATATGCAGGGGTCAATAGACAGTAGTGGGTCAAGTGTAGGGCTATATGCAGGGGTCAATAGACAGTAGGGGGTCAAGTGTTGGGCTATATGCAGGGGTCAATAGACAGTAGGGGGTCAAGTGTTGGGCTATATGCAGGGGTCAATAGACAGTAGGGGGGTCAAGTGTTGGGCTCTTTGCAGGGGTCAATAGACAGTAGGGGTCAAGTGTTGGGCTATATGCAGGGGTCAATAGACAGTAGGGGGGGGTCAAGTGTTGGGTTATATGCAGGGGTCAATAGACAGTAGGGGGTCAAGTGTTGCGCTATATGCAGGGGTCAATAGACAGTAGTGGGGGGAAAAGTGTTGAGCTATATGCAGGGTTCAATAGACAAAAGGGGGTCAAGTGTTGGGCTATATGCAGGGGTCAATAGACAGTAGTGGGGGTCAAGTGTTGGGCTATATGCAGGGGTCAATAGACAGTAGTGGTGGTCAAGTGTTGGGCTATATGCAGGGGTCAATAGACAGTAGTAGGGGGTCAAGTGTTGGGCTATATGCAGGGGTCAATAGACAGTAGGGGGGTCAAGTGTTGGGCTCTTTGCAGGGGTCAATAGACAGTAGGGGGTCAAGTATTGGGCTATATGCAGGGGTCAATAGACAGTAGTGGGGGTCAAGTGTTGGGCTATATGCAGGGGTCAATAGACAGTAGGGGGGTCAAGTGTTGGGCTCTTTGCAGGGGTCAATAGACAGTAGGGGGTCAAGTGTTGGGCTATATGCAGGGGTCAATAGACAGTAGTGGGGGTCAAGTGTTGGGCTATATGCAGGGGTTAATAGACAGTAGGGGGTCAAGTTTTGGGCTATATGCAGGGGTCAATAGACAGTAGGGGGGTCAAGTGTTGGGCTCTTTGCAGGGGTCAATAGACAGTAGGGGTTCAAGTGTTGGGCTATATGCAGAGGTCAATAGACAGTAGTAGGGGGTCAAGTGTTGGGCTATATGCAGGGGTCAATAGACAGTAGGGGGTCAAGTGTTGGGCTATATGTAGGGGTCAATTGACAGTAGGGGGGTCAAGTGTTGGGCTCTTTGCAGGGGTCAATAGACAGTAGGGGGTCAAGTGTTGGGCTATATGCAGAGGTCAATAGACAGTAGTAGGGGGTCAAGTGTTGGGCTATATGCAGGGGTCAATAGACAGTAGGGGGGTCAAGTGTTGGGCTATATGCAGGGGTCAATAGACAGTAGGGGGTTAAGTGTTGGGCTATATGCAGGGGTCAATAGACAGTAGGGGGGTCAAGTGTTGGGCCCTTTGCAGGGGTCAATAGACAGTAGGGGTCAAGTGTTGGGCTATATGCAGGGGTCAATAGACAGTAGTGGGGGGTCAAGTGTTGGGTTATATGCAGGGGTCAATAGACAGTGGGGGGTCAAGTGTTGGGCTATATGCAGAGGTCAATAGACAGTAGGGGGTCAAGTGTTGGGCTATATGCAGGGGTCAATAGACAGTAGGGGGGGGTCAAGTGTTGGGCTATATGCAGAGGTCAATAGACAGTAGTGGGGGGGGTCAAGTGTTGGGCTATATGCAGGGGTCAATAGACAGTAGGGGGTCAAGTGTTGGGCTATATGCAGGGGTCAATAGACAGTAGGGGGTCAAGTGTTGGGCTATATGCAGGGGTCAATAGACAGTAGGGGGTCAAGTGTTGGGCTATATGCAGGGGTCAATAGACAGTAGTAGGGGGTCAAGTGTTGGGCAGGGGTCAATAGACAGTAGGGGGTCAAGTGTTGGGCTATATGCAGGGGTCAATAGACAGTAGGGGGTCAAGTGTTGGGCTATATGCAGAGGTCAATAGACTGTAGGGGGGTCAAGTGTTGGGCTATATGCAGAGGTCAATAGACAGTAGTGGGGTCAAGTGTTGGGCTATATGCAGGGGTCAATAGACAGTAGGGGGTCAAGTGTTGGGCTATATGCAGGGGTCAATAGACAGTAGTAGGGGGTCAAGTGTTGGGCTATATGCAGAGGTCAATAGACTGTAGGGGGGTCAAGTGTTGGGCTATATGCAGAGGTCAATAGACAGTAGTGGGGTCAAGTGTTGGGCTATATGCAGGGGTCAATAGACAGTAGGGGGTCAAGTGTTGGGCTATATGCAGGGGTCAATAGACAGTAGTGGGGGGTCAAGTGTTGGGCTATATGCAGGGGTCAATAGACAGTAGGGGGGTCAAGTGTTGGGCTATATGCAGGGGTCAATAGACAGTAGGGGGGGGTCAAGTGTTGGGCTAAAAGCATCTACTGACGACAAAGGACAAGATTAGGACTAAAGCCAATTACAAAAAAGTAGAACATATAAAAACAAAGAAGACGTGTCCCTTTTCTTGAAACAAATTGATCAAAGCAAGAAACTTACTTCTGTTGACTTGCGGCAATCCCCCATCTGTCCGGGGTACCTCTGCAGTAAATCAAGTTAAATTGCAACATCAGCGTTTTTTAATGTCAATTAATTTTAAAATAGTGTAACTATAATTAATACATGCGGTACCTAGCAATGTTTAACTCATTTATTTAACTTTCGGCTAGAGCTTTAATAATATAACTGTTTGTTGTTTTTATTAGGTAATATTTGAATAGGTTAAATTAGGATATAATTTAATTAAAACAAGATTTTACTTTATGATTACGAAGAGTATGGTAAATGGTACGAAATACTTTCATCAAGTGATATGAAGATGGCCAGAGGGAAATCTCAAAGCTAAAAATTATATAAATAATTTTATATATATATATATATATATATATATATATATATATATATATATATATATATATATATATATATATATATATATATATGTCGTTTGGTTTAAAAATGTATTTATTAATTATAAAATGTTCGCACTGGAAAGAAACCGCCTTGTAATTATTATGACTCTGATTCAGATTAATTAAATCACGGGTTTGTTTTGAAAGTTTGTTTCCAAATTTTAAAATATCCAAATGGGGTATGTTGATGGAGTATCCACACCAGTGTGGATCATACACAAGGGACGGGCTAGCACCACCCCCGTGCAGCTAGTATTATTAACATTTCTGGAATAGAGTTTTTACAACTTTAAACAGGCAATTTCAATTGATTTTCGAAAGCTACATCTATACAAAGTAAAAAGATTTGGCAAAAGGCGTTTGCCATTTGGGTGTGCCAAAAGACGGAACAAGACATTATCTAAAGTTACAGAAATGGACCAGAGCTCTCTAAACTACAATAACACCCCAGCAAATCATCACTCAGTGTTATGATTAGTGCTATAGCCAAGCTGCCTTCAGTTTCACTCATACGTCTCAGCATCAGACGACAACGTCAGACATTAATTTATAATAAAATACTGTTGTTTTTTTCTTCTGTCTGTTTTGTTTTTAAGGGTGATATTTGGTTCTCATCAATAGTATTTCTTAATATAAGAATTTCCTTATGAAGTTCGTAGATCAAGACATCTATCTAGTTAGTCTGGCGTTCGTATATTATTTGCCGACTGATCTTTGAAGCTTCCACATCAAGCATTCAAGTTGAATTTTTTGTTTACCGTTCTCAACTCTAGTGGCAACTGTGTAGGTGAGGGCAGAGTTCAGGAGGTCATAGTTGGCCACGGGGATGCTGTATCTGATGCTGGGTTGACTGGCGTACTGGCCCAGGCTACTTTGTAGCCATCCTGTGCCGATGGCTACGTTGTACAGAACGATTCCCCTGCCTGTCACATTTTTCACCACATTCGCATAAGTTGCAGGATCGGATCCCGCCCCCGCTCCAACATGAATGATGACCTGCCGAATTAAAGCAAGTTGTTTGGTGTACATGTACATTGTGTAAAGGTACACAGTGTACCTGAACAATACGTACAGTTACACAGTGCACCTGAACAATTCGTACAGTTACACAGTGCACCTGAACAATTCGTACAGTTACACAGTGCACCTGAACAATGCGTACAGTTACACTGTGTATACTTATCTGAGGCCTTATGTTACCTCTCGTTCTCCGTTTCTGCCTCCATTAGCTGGCAAAAATCCTTCCAGGTAAGCTTTTCGTAAAGCTTCGGTAGCGTCGCCAGGCAGGCTGTAATATTTCATATTGTCAATCGCTTGGACAACCTGCAAGTTAAACATTTTAGGTCAGCATCTGCTCAACTGTTAGTGTGTAGTCAAATTCTACTGGGGGGTGGGGAAGTGTGTAGTCAAATTCTACTGGGGGTGGGGAAGTGTGTAGTCAAATTCTACTGGGAGTGGGGAAGTGTGTAGTCAAATTCTACTGGGGGTGGGGAAGTGTGTAGTCAAATTCTACTGGGGGTGGGGAAGTGTGTAGTCAAATTCTACTGGGGGTGGGGAAGTGTATAGTCAAATTCTACTGGGGGTGGGGAAGTGTGTAGTCAAATTCTACTGGGAGTGGGGAAGTGTGTAGTCAAATTCTACTGGGGGTGGGGAAGTGTGTGGCCAAATTCTACTGGGAGTGGGGAAGTGTGTAGTCAAATTCTACTGGGAGTGGGGAAGTGTGTAGTCAAATTCTACTGGTGGTGGGGAAGTGTGTAGTCAAATTCTACTGGGAGTGGGGAAGTGTGTAGTCAAATTCTACTGGGGGTGGGGAAGTGTGTGGCCAAATTCTACTGGGGGTGGGGAAGTGTGTAGTCAAATTCTACTGGTGGTGGGGAAGTGTGTAGTCAAATTCTACTGGGAGTGGGGAAGTGTGTAGTCAAATTCTACTGGGAGTGGGGAAGTGTGTGGCCAAATTCTACTGGGGGTGGGGAAGTGTGTAGTCAAATTCTACTGGGGGTGGGGAAGTGTGTAGTCAAATTCTACTGGAAGTGGGGAAGTGTGTAGTCAAATTCTACTGGGAGTGGGGAAGTGTGTAGTCAAATTCTAATGGGGGTGGGGAAGTGTGTAGTCAAATTCTACTGGGAGTGGGGAAGTGTGTAGTCAAATTCTACTGGGAGTGGGGAAGTGTGTGGCCAAATTCTACTGGGGGTGGGGAAGTGTGTAGTCAAATTCTACTGGGAGTGGGGAAGTGTGTGGCCAAATTCTACTGGGGGTGGGGAAGTGTGTAGTCAAATTCTACTGGGGGTGGGGAAGTGTGTAGTCAAATTCTACTGGGAGTGGGGAAGTGTGTAGTCAAATTCTACTGGGAGTGGGGAAGGTTTTATGGTAGAGTACTGTTCTTGTAATGTTTATCTTCAGTTATTTACCTTCAAATGTTTACATTTTAAAGTTTACTTTCTATTTCTGAATATTTTCAACTTGAGAATTGAAACTTCAAATGAACTTACGGGTTTGAAAAGTTAGATTGAATGGGTTCATGATTGAATGGGTTCATGATCGAATGGGTTCGTGATTGAATCGTTTATGATTGAAATGGTTTATAATTGAATGGGTTCTTGCAACTACGCGATATTCTGATGATATTTCGTGACTTTTTGAATAGTGTGTCAGGTTTTCTGTGTTGCCTTTTTGAATAGGTCTTATGCCTATTTAACGGGAGGGGTGGGAAGGTCGCGTCTCACGCTAATTAAGTTTGTATCTTGTCAACACGGGGGGGGGGGGGGGGATGGGGGGATTAAGCTTCAGCGGGGCCCCCAGTGTAAATTTGTTGGGGGGCCTTCGGAGGCGTATACAGGTTTTCGGGTTAGGGCTAGTCGAGAAAAAGTCGCCATATAATTATATATATATATATATATATATATATATATATATATATATATATATATATATATATATATATATATGTATATATATATATATATATATATATATATATACATATCTAATATATAAAGCTCAGTTCTGTATGTAATGCATTTGTATGTCGTTGGAATTGTACGAATTTAAGTGTTAGAAAATTATCGTGCGCATTTGTCTAAATTTATGAGCTAAAAAATTACCATTGAAAGTGTTGGGAAATCATTTTCATTTTTCAAATTACAGTAATAATTGTCGGCATGTTCATTAAACACAAGTTTAAAAAAAATATCATCTTTTACAAAAATTCTAATTATGTCTTTATTTAGTCCTATAGCACTTACTTCCCTTTGATAAATTAGGAAAACAAAATTACTTCCCTTTATAAAACCATTGCATTAGTCGAAAATAATTTACTTTTTAATTACTTTGTTTTGGTGTTGGAAAAAAAAAATAATTACATAATTAGCGGGGATTGATCAAGTGCAAATGTTGTAGGTATTTTACGGATAAGCTTGGAGTATTAAAATTGTTTATTAAATTGAAACAGGCGCGTTCGTTTAAGTGAGTGCAAAAGACTGTGAATAAGTTGGGGTACTATAGTCGTTCATTAAGCTAAAACAGGTGATTCCGCCCCGGGCGTTTATGTTCGCGTTAGTGTTTTCTTTGTGTTTAGGTGGGTTTGCGTTAGTGGTTGCGTTTTAATTTGGTTCGTTTTTGTTCTTTCTTTTTTCGTTTTTGTTTGTGTTTTTTTTTGTTTGGGTTTGTATTTGTGTTTTTGGTTGGTTTTGCGTTTGGATTTGGTTTGTTTTCGTTTGCTTTTTTCGTTGATTTTTTTTTTGTTGGTATTGGTGTTTGTGGTTGGGTTTGTTGTTAGGTTTTTGTTTTCGTTTGCTTTTTTGTTTGTTTTTTCTTTGTGTTTGTATTGGTGTTTGTGGGTGTGGTTGTGTTTGTTGTTAAGTTTTTGTTTTCGTTTGTATTTGTAATTGTGTTAGCGTTATGTTTGCGTTTTGTTGTTTTGGTTTTGGTTGGTTGTGGTTTGGGTGGGCAATGCCGGGTTTATGATGATTACTAAACACACAGGTAATGGTCTTTAACAGAAAGGTTTTTCACAGAAGCCAGAGCAGGGCCTGGCCGGGACGGCTAGTATATATATGTGTGTGTGTGTGTGTGTGTGTGTGTGTGAACGGCTGGAGTGTGTAAATCTGTTATTATTATTATTCGTAACTTAGAAGGCGAATGTATTGTTTCGTTTCATGTCGTAAATTGTTCGTAGTTTTTAGTTGTGTAGTCCCGTATTATGGCGCCGCTGTCTCACTGTTTATGTCCCTTTTTACAACTAGTTTGTATATATTTCGTTTATATTGTTGTCAAGGTTTATATTAAGTGACTTTTTATATAATTCTGTTGCATGTTTCGCGGCGTTTGGTTTGTTATCTGTGAATTAGGGACTATTTGTTTACGTGTAGTGTGTGAGGTGTGCGAAAGTCGATTTCCGGCTTGATGTTCGGTCCACTTGGGGGTGCTGAAGTGATGAGGTAAGGACGAAGGCGATCCTTTCACCATCAAGTCAGAAGAACGTCCATCTAGCTTTTATTTTTTTGTGTATTTGTTCTTTGCAAACCTGGTGAGTTAGAACCATATTTATTTTTATGTATTTTGCGGTTTATTTTTGGTTGCTGGCCATAAGCTTTTTTCTGTGGCTGTTTTCTAACCCTAACCCTAACCCTGTGGTTTTGTCAGACCATGTGGACTCAGATTCTGAGTTTTATTATATTATTATGTTATTTTGTTACTTTGTTGTATCCCTTGGGATTGTGTTAAGTCAGGGATAAAGTTATTTTAGACTTGACCCGCAGTTATGGTTTACTCCTGGCTGTTGGGTTAAGTAGTAGAGATATTGTATCCCCTGGGCTGGTGGTAAGCCGGGATGAGTTATTGTTGCCTTACTCACAGTTACGGTTCATTCCTGACTGTCGGGTTTGGTTATGTTACTTGTAGCTGTTTATACTATTTTAAAGCCATTATAGTGGACTTACACTTCCTGTGGTGATCTTTGTTGATTCCCAGGAGAGTGTTTGGTTCATTCTAAGTCACTAGGGGTGTGCACATGACATTAATAGATTTTATATAACGTGAGCCTTTTGTTAGGCTGGTAACTGTCTGTTGAGCTAGTAGTTTAGAGCTCAGTTTCCTGGTAATATTCCAGGTAATATTCCAGGTAATTTTTGTAGTGCGTTCTGTGTGAACTACCTGCAGGCTGTTGAGATGTAATCCAGTCAGCCTGTGTTTAATACTTTGTATATAACCTTTTTTATGGTAATTAATGTGTCATTTTTTTCCTTTTCTAGGACGTAGTCCGAAATTGGGTGTTTTGTTTTATATAAATTGTTTTGTTTCGATGAGTTCTGTTTTGTATGTCTTGAGTGTTTTGTTTTGTCTAGATTCTAGTTTTTTTGTATATAAGCTTTGGTTCCATATTTTTGTTAAATAAATTTTATTATATTGTTAAAGTTTTTGTTTTATTTTTAGTAGTTTTATAATTTAGACTAAGGTTAGGTTATTAACCATTAATGTACCGTAACGCCCGCTGCCGCCCGACACCGTTAATGTCCCGTAACGCCCGCTGCCGCCCGCTTACAATACGCATAGAAAAATTAAATTTGTTTCATTAAAATTTGGCCTACAAATCCTAATTTTTAACTAGACAGGAAGTCGGGTAGTTTCAGCATCCTTTTCCGGTCTTCTAATTTCAATGGCGCTTTTGAAAGATAAAAAATAATAGCTTCTTTCTATCTCGAAATTTTAGACTCATCTGTCCTATTTTTAGTAGATTTAATATTAAAAATAAAATAAAATAATGCCTCTAAACGTATCTAGGCATGTATTTTATGAATTATATATCTTAAACATAACCAAATTGATATTTAACTGTTAAATTCGATGCATAGTTGTTCAGACGAAAATAAATATAGTTGACTACCGAAAATGACCTGTTTTGAATTTTCTCCGACATTTTTTATTTTTATTTTTTTATTTTATTAGAAGAGTGGCCCCTAAATTCGATTAAACGAGCGCCTTACACTAGCAATATGTCGAGCTACTACATTAGACTACTAGCAATATGTCGGGCTACTTCATTCGATGCGGCCCGCGATGTCCTCTTATCCGGCCCGCGGAGATCTTTTTGTGCATGGAAAAAACGTTGGTTGGTGATGGCTGAGGAACTTTGCGCAGAAACATCAAAGACATGCCTGGAAGAAACTGGCCCCCGAACTGAAATTTGATAGTAAATGCGGCCCTCGGACTGAAAAGTTTGGAGACCCCTGTCCTAATATATAAAAGCCCCCGTGCGCACATCTCTCTCTCTCTCTCTCTCTCTCTGTCTGTCTGTCCGCAAAATATTTTCGCTGGAGATCACATCAGAAATTGCAGCGATATATGGAGAACTTCATACGGACTTTTGTTGAAAATAATATGTTAGATGTTTTAAATGTATAACCACAATTTTATTTAAAGAAGAAAAATAAAAAATAAAGGCGTATTCGAATGTAGAAAAACAATTTTATTTATGCAACCGGAAAAGTGTTTAAACTTGGGACAAGAACGCATTTAACAATGACGTCGCTTATTGTTTACACTAAAAAAAGAGCACGAAACTGATGACGTCATCTTCCGAGTTTAGAATAAAAAGAAATGAACTATTTCATTCAAATATGATTTAGAGCTATGTACGCTATAAAATGTATACAATACGATTTTCTCGGCCTAAACGTAAAAATATTATTTTATCTATTTGGATTTTAGATCTAGAGATTCTAGATCTAGATTTAGACTCTATCTACTGTAGAATCTATTCCAAAAATAAATTTCTATAATAAACTTTTTCAGGACTTAAATATTTTATAGAAATCTTTGTTTGTTTAACAATGAAACTGGCTAATATTGGGTAAAAAAATTAATTTGAAAAATAGGCATATTCGCGTAAGTTTTTTTTTTTTAAACACTTCTTTTATTCTCCATATTTTATAGGTACCTAATTAGCTGAGATCATAGTGTACTTGATACCAGACAGGTGGTGCCGGATCGAGACACACCAAGTCAAACCTAATTTATTTATTTTATATGTGAATCTTCCTATTTTAGAATATAAAGAAAGGAACTACTTTGGAAATCTTTGTTTATCTATGCAATTTGCTAATCTCTATAATATATGAAGCAAAGTTGTCGGGTGCCCGACATCGGGCACTTCCCGGCGCCACAGGCGCTTCAAATTTGGCAGGATCTTGCCTTGGGGCGACAGAACACGGGGGGCGGTGCCGGTTGGCCTAAGGGTCTACGATGAGGGGGTCAAAACAGACCTCGACTGACCGGCGCCTTATATGAGCTATAAATCGAAAAAAAATTGTCCACGTAGGAACCTCTTCATAACCCCCGAGGTCGTAGACCGACCCTCGGGCGAATTAATTAAGCATTCTAATTCTCAATGTTTTTGAAAGCCTAAGCGAAGCTGGGCAGCATGCCTAGTATATAAATAAGTCATCTATAATATAAGCGGCCAAGTAGTGTGTCAGTCCTTCCTTCTGTCATCGCTATAGATTTTGGAACCATAAAAGTCAACATCGCACCATGCAGTGCTTTTCAGTGCATCGCAGTGTCTTATTATAAGTAATAAAGTAGGGTTTGTTTATATAACGACATAAAGTTATTTTATAGTCGCCACTGTTTTTACTCTTTTGCATAACGTGAAGGAAATATTATATACACGCACATTCCTAAAACATATTAAAAGGATCACTGTCAAATATCATTTTCGTTTATATTACCTGAAAATTGGATACATTTTTATTACAGTAGCTCGAAAAAAACGAATTAATTCAACTTTTTTTTATATTTTTTTGCTAGGGAGGTAATTTTAAAAAAATTTAACTCATCAATAATTGAAGTTAATTTTTTTTTTATTACTACCGCATTGATTATTATATGTTAAGGTTCATAATTAAAATAGAAAAATGTTAAGATTATTTATATTATTTTCTAATTAGTCTATGATTTCTCAAAATCACTATTTTTTTGTTTTTGTTTTTCGGTGTTGACAGATGGTGAAATTTTAGAATTATAGTATAGAGAATGCTGGAAAGGCTCCCTCTGGGCGCGGACGCCTGGGAAAGAGTGTTTTTCGGTGGTGATTCTAATTACATTGCCAATGTGTTTTCTTAGAACTATAAAAGCAAACACCACTAGCCGTACATTTATTTGCATTGCATTGTTTTATTCTAAGTTATGGAGTAGGTCTATTTATGTGACTTAATTTTTTTATGCTGGAAAGGCTCTCTTTGGGGGTGGACGCCTAGGGAAGCGTGTTGTTCGGTGGGGATTCTAATGTTGTGTTTGTGTTGTGGTTGTGTTGTGGTTGTATTGTGGTTGTGTTGTGGTTGTGTTGTGGTTGTGTTGTATTTGTGTTGTGGTTGTGTTGTGGTTGTGTTGTGGTTGTGTTGTGGTTGTGTTGTGGTTGAGTTGTGGTTGAGTTGTAGTTGAGTTGTGGTTGAGTTTGTGTTGTGTTGTGGTTGTGTTGTGGTTGTGTTGCGGTTGTGTTGCGGTTGTGTTGTGGTTGTGTTGTGGTTGTGTTGTGGGTGTTGTGGTTGTGTTGTGGTTGTGTTTGTGTTGTGGTTGTGTTGTGGTTGCGTTGTGGTTGTGTTGTGGTTGTGTTGTGGTTGTGTTGTGATTGTGTTGTGGGTGTTGTGGGTGTTGTGGTTGTTTTGTGGTTGAGTTATGGTTTTGTTGTGTTGTGGTTGTGTTGTGGTTGTGTTTGTGTTGTGTTTTTCTTTGTTTTGTTCTGTTCCCAAGTTGGTACATTTAAAAGAGATTTACCGTGGCGGAGCACGGGTATGCAGCTAATATCTATATGTATAAAGAAAAGTGGTCGGGTGTCCGATAGGGCATTTCCCGGCGCCGCAGGCGCTTCAAATTCGGCAGACTCCTGCCTTGGGGCGATAGAACACAGGGGCCGGTGCCGGTTGGCCAACAATTCCACGAAGAAGAGGTCTAAAACTGATCTCGACTGACCGACGCCTTAAGTAATGAACTATATATCGAAAAAAAATTAAAAAGTAGGAACCTCTTCATAACTCCTAAGGTCGTAGACCGACCCTAGGGGGTGGCAAAAAACACTATGATATATTCGGGAAAATTCCGGAAGGGCTTTAGAAGTGACCGGTCCGATATTTCCCTATATAAACATTGTTCATTTTGTGAAAAACGATGACTATTTTTAAAACTATGTTTTGGAACTTTGGCTATGTACAACTCGCTCATTTTTTGCGTAAACCTGTGTAAATAAATTGGCCTTATGGATAAACTATTGGTCAGCCTCTACTTGCACGGCGAGGGCTAAAAATTGACCTAGAGTGAAATTTTCCTTATATGAGCTATATATCGGAAAATATTTTCCACGTAGGAACCCTTTGAAAACTCTTGGAGATGTACATGGGCTAAAAGAGGTCAGGAAATAAATGGTGCTACCCTCGGGTAAATCTTGGAACAATGTTTTAACTGACCAGTGTGTGTGTGTGCGTGCATGCGCGCGTGCGTGTTTGTGTGCGTGTGTGTGTGTGTAAACACAATAACTTGAGTACAGTTACAGCTAGGTTCATAAAAGTTCATACAAAAATATTAGATCAAATTTGTAGTTGTATCACGTTTTCAGCGATCTCCGATAACCGAAAGTGGAACTTATTCTACTTTAAGCTTTTCAAAAGCCTATAACTTGATTATACTGTTTTTAATAGATAAATAAAATTTCACATGTCTGTAAAAGATCTAATTCTCTGCCTTCTTTCAAATTTTGAGTAATTCCCGTTGACTGGAAGTACTAATTTACGCTATTTCTAATTACTCACAAAACGCTTATGAATTTATCAAGTACTAATATTATTTCGCACTATTATACACATATTGTTTGCCATATACTTAGTGCGCAATTCTTTTTTTCTACGAGATTCTATTCTATTTTGAAAAGTTAAAGTAATTTAAAATGGAGTAAAATCATGTCTCTATCCCGAGTTGCCATTCCCTGTAGAGTTATATAAGAATATTTTAGAAAGTTTAGGGGAGATCACTCCCGTATTATTTATTTTAATCTTCTTACCTGTTGGACATCCACCGAATCCTTTAAAAAGTTTTCTACAGTGACGCCGTCTCCGTACGAGATGACAGAGACACGAAAGTCATTGAGTCCAATCTGCCAATTCTGGACCACGGTTTTGATCCAGTTTCGAATTTTTTCAAAGTTGACTGCACCTACTCGATCAGTGCTGTCCACTACAAAAATTACGTCAGCACCGCCATCTGAAATAACGAAAAATAAATTATAAAATATTTTTTTAATTTGCAAAAACTTTTAAACTTTTGCGTATCGATTAGAGTCTGACAGGCCCTGTAGATCGAAACAATTTTCGCAGGTTTGTTAAAGAAAATTACAGTTGAAAGCCGTGTATATTCGCGCCATAGTTCCCAGAAAAAGGAAAACTCCGCAAACTAAAAAATACGCAAAAAGCTAATTATACTAATATATATATATATATATATATATATATATATATATATATATATATATATATATATATATATATATATATATATATACTAGCTGCATAACCGTGCTCCGCCACGGTGAATCTTTTTTAGACGTACCAACTTGGAAACAGAACAAAACTAAATACAAACACAAACACACCACAAAACAACACAACGCAACACAACACAAACACAAACAGGGGTACCGCATGAATCGTCATTCAAGATGCTGTAGGGTACTCCCCCGATGGCCGTAGCGCCACGGATTCCCATATTAGAAGAGTGGCCCCTAAATTCGATTAAACGAGCGCCTTACACTAGCAATATGTCGGGCTACTACATTCGACTACTAGCAATATGTCGGGCTACTTCATTCGATGACTTAATATAACCAGTCTTACACTAGCAATATGTCGGGCTACTTCATTCGATGACTTAATATAACCAGTCTTACACTAGCAATATGTCGGGCTACTTCATTCGATGACTTAATATAACCAGGGGTTATACTCTTCACTCGTGCAGTAATGTAACCCGTGACTCCCAGGGTCCACGCGATATATATATATATATATATATATATATATATATATATATATATATATATATATATATATATATATACATATATATATATATATATATATATATATATATATATATATATATATATATATATATATATATATATATATATATATAGTGAGAGCCAAAAGAAATATTTGAGGGGGGAGGGGGAACTTTCCTTTCTAGTTCCGCTACTGCATCCATCTCAGACTTATACAAATACTCAATTCAAAATACTCAATACCTAGAGGCTAAACCCAGACACCTTCATAAGCCTTCGTCTTGTAAACTGCCATAAAGCAGGTCACTATACATAGATAATAAATCTAGTCGTAGACCTAACCCTAACAATTTTGTGCTTACGTGTCTGCGGCTGTATGTAGACTAGAAAACAGAGTCCTAGTCCTAGCAACAAGAGCACCTTCATGTTGACCGGTCCTCTCCAAATGCACAAACGACATCAAAGTGTTAGGAAAATAAAGAGCTATTCATTGAAAAATTATTAATGCTGTACAAAAGGTAATCGTTTATTGGCAATAGACTTGAAAAGCTGGTTCCAAATGGTTCCAAATTTTTGTTGTCAGAAAGCATATTTTGCAACCAAAATTGAATGTTTTATAACGTTGTGTAATAAGTACAAAATTACTTCCGGTTTCATTAAGGCTAGAAATAGTCAAAGAAAGAATTACTAGTAATATAATAATAACTTAGCAAAGACTTTTATTTTTTAATTTGGATTAGCTGAGTCAGGGTATCGTGGTGATTATGTATGTTATATTATTTAATATAAATACAATACTAGGCTATACACCATAGATCACTATTGTGTATTTTTATCATGGAAAACATTTGTTCTGACTTTAATTGTTTTACTCTCCCTGGCCATTCCGGTTGACTTCAAGCAGAGGTTGAGGTCAGTTTTTAAAAATACTTGAATCGATAAAATAATTCTAAACTTCTTTTCAAGGGCTTATATTCCATACAAAAATATGTTATCGATGGTTCCCAATTGACATTAATTCTTTAAAATGTAACTATAATTTTATCAGTTACCAAATTGTGTAAAGATTTATTTTAATGTAGTATCATTACATAGACTTTTCAAGCCTAATGAAGAAAAAAAGCGATTCATAAATACCGGAGAAATCCAGCTTTTTAATGATGCAAAATAAAGTCTATTGGTGAATATCAAATTTTTCGAGCGAACGTGTAACATTTATAAAAAGTTGATTATTTTATTCATGTATAGGGTGATTTTCTGCTATACCAAAAAGGCCCGAGTTCGAACCTCCGTGTAGATAGCATCTGCTCTAAGAGAGAAAACACCAAAATGAAACTGCTGGCTCGTAGTTTGTTTTTGGATGGAAAGGAAATGCTGGGGAAGCAAAAACAGAAAAAAGCAGGCTGAAATGGGAGTCAGCGTGCAATATGGCGCATAATATGTTGATACATAATACATAATACATAATATGTTGATACATAATACATAATATGTTGATACATAATACTTTATTTTGTTGGAAGAAACTCCGTCCAACATTACAATTAAGAACGAAGAAAAGATGATTTTTCATCTGAGCATATCCCTTAATGCATGTAGCAATCTGGAGCGTTCAGCTGATTCAGACAGCGTTGTAGAGAAAACCATATTTACGTCGTGTCCCGTATAACGCTAGTGCCTGACTTATAGATATCAACGCGCTTCTGTGTATGTTGTTAACATCAACCATCATCGCTCATTGTTCAGATTGTGATATCATTTGTCACCGCTTACGTTTGTGTTAGTATACCGACTTGCGCTGAAATGGGGTAATTGAATTCGCTGGAAGTGGGTCATTGATGACGCTAAAAGAGATACATTGAGGTTGGTCTTTAGAGATCAATGTAAATTCAAGGGGGTCAAATATTCTCTAAGAAAATTGACAAACTGTGAAGTGCATAATTCTTGACTCTGACCTAAACCTAATGGCTCCCCTAGTGAGTGATTGCCACGCTACCGCGCCCTGTTTGCACGTTAGTCAGCAACTTGTCTTGCCAGTTAACGGGTTGTACAGTAGATACGATCGTCGCTCCTTGCAAGTTTTCTAATCACACTTTCGTGTGTGTGAGGCGGCAGGTGTGGGGCGATAAGATTAAGCGCAGGTTGGTTCCATGTTCTCATGTCTCGTTTTTTGTCACTTTGCCATTGTCTAATATCTATACCATCTCAAAGGCCAAGATTATGTCAAGTGATTGTCATTAAATCGCCCTCTCACTAGTTGCTCATATCCTAGATTTACTACTCCCAATGCAATGAATTTTATTTACTTTAGCGTTTACACTGATGAATTGATAAAATAAGTCTTCTGATGGACTAGGTCAGTTGATGGACTAGGTCAGTTGATGGAAGAGGTCAGTTGATGGAGTAGGTCAGTTGATGGACTAGGTCAGTTGATGGAGTAGGTCAGTTGATGGACTAGGTCAGTTGATGGAAGAGGTCAGTTGATGGACTAGGTAATTGATGTAGTAGGTCAGTTGATGTAGTAGGTCAGTTGATGGACTAGGTCAGTTGATGGAGTAGGTCAGTTGATGGACTAGGTCAGTTGATGGGCTAGGTCAGTTGATGGGCTAGGTCAGTTGATGTAGTAGGTCAGTTGATGGACTAGGTCAGTTGATGGAAGAGGTCAGTTGATGGAGTAGGTCAGTTGATGGAGTAGGTCAGTTGATGTAGTAGGTCAGTTGATGGAAGAGGTCAGTTGATGGGCTAGGTCAGTTGATGGAGTAGGTCAGTTGATGGAGTAGGTCAGTTGATGGACTAGGTCAGTTGATGGGCTAGGTCAGTTGATGGGCTAGGTCAGTTGATGGACTAGGTCAGTTGATAGGCTAGGTCAGTTGATGGAGTAGGTCAGTTGATGTAGTAGGTCAGTTGATGGACTAGGTCAGTTGATGGACTAGGTCAGTTGATGTAGTAGGTCAGTTGATGTAGTAGGTCAGTTGATGGACTAGGTCAGTTGATGGGCTAGGTCAGTTGATGGAAGAGGTCAGTTGATGGACTAGGTCAGTTGATGGACTAGGTCAGTTGATGGACTAGGTCAGTTGATGGACTAGGTCAGTTGATGGACTAGGTCAGTTGATGTAGTAGGTCAGTTGATGGACTAGGTCAGTTGATGGACTAGGTCAGTTAATGGACTAGGTCAGTTGATGTAGTAGGTCAGTTGATGTAGTAGGTCACTTGATGGACTAGGTCAGTTGATGGACTAGGTCAGTTAATGGACTAGGTCAGTTGATGTAGTAGGTCAGTTGATGTAGTAGGTCAGTTGATGTAGTAGGTCAGTTGATGGACTAGGTCAGTTGATGGACTAGGTCAGTTGATGGACTAGGTCAGTTGATGGACTAGGTCAGTTGATGTAGTAGGTCAGTTGATGGACTAGGTCAGTTGATGGACTAGGTCAGTTAATGGACTAGGTCAGTTGATGGACTAGGTCAGTTGATGTAGTAGGTCAGTTGATGTAGTAGGTCACTTGATGGACTAGGTCAGTTGATGGAAGAGGTCAGTTGATGGACTAGGTCAGTTGATGTAGTAGGTCAGTTGATAGGCTAGGTCAGTTGATGGAAGAGGTCAGTTGATGGAGTAGGTCCGTTGGTGGACTAGGTCAGTTGATGAACTAGGTCAGTAGATGGAGTAGGTCAGTTGATGGAAGAGGTCAGTTGATAGGCTAGGTCAGTTGATGGAAGAGGTCAGTTGATGGACTAGGTCAGTTGATGGACTAGGTCAGTTGATGGACTAGGTCAGTTGATAAGCTAGGTAAGTTGATGGAAGAGGTCAGTTGATGGAGTAGGTCCGTTGATGGACTAGGTCCGTTGATGGACTAGGTCAGTTGATGGACTAGGTCAGTAGATGGAGTAGGTCAGTTGATGGACTAGGTCAGTTGATGGACTAGGTCAGTTGATGGGCTAGGTCACTTGATGGACTAGGTCAGTTGATGGAAGAGGTCAGTTGATGGACTAGGTCAGTTGATGGAAGAGGTCAGTTGATAGGCTTGGTCAGTTGATGGAAGAGGTCAGTTGATGGACTAGGTCAGTTGATTGACTAGGTCAGTTGATGTAGTAGGTCAGTTGATAGGCTAGGTCAGTTGATGGAAGAGGTCAGTTGATGGAGTAGGTCCGTTGGTGGACTAGGTCAGTTGATGAACTAGGTCAGTAGATGGAGTAGGTCAGTTGATAGGCTAGGTCAGTTGATGGAAGAGGTCAGTTGATGGGCTAGGTCAGTTGATGGACTAGGTCAGTTGATGGACTAGGTCAGTTGATGGACTAGGTCAGTTGATAGGCTAGGTCAGTTGATGGAAGAGGTCAGTTGATGGAGTAGGTCCGTTGATGGACTAGGTCCGTTGATGGACTAGGTCAGTTGATGGACTAGGTCAGTAGATGGAGTAGGTCAGTTGATGGACTAGGTCAGTTGATGGACTAGGTCAGTTGATGGAAGAGGTCAGTTGATGGACTAGGTCAGTTGATGGAAGAGGTCAGTTGATAGGCTAGGTCAGTTGATGGAAGAGGTCAGTTGATGGACTAGGTCAGTTGATGGACTAGGTCAGTTGATGTAGTAGGTCAGTTGATAGGCTAGGTTAGTTGATGGGCTAGGTCAGTTGATGGACTAGGTCAGTTGATGGGCTAGGTCACTTGATGGACTAGGTCAGTTGATGGAAGAGGTCAGTTGATGGACTAGGTCAGTTGATATAGTAGGTCAGTTGATAGGCTAGGGCAGTTGATGGAAGAGGTCAGTTGATGGACAAGGTCAGTTGATGGACTAGGTCAGTTGATGTAGTAGGTCAGTTGATGGAGTAGGTCCGTTGATGGACTAGGTCATTTGATGGGCTAGGTCAGTTGATGGACTAGGTCAGTTGATGGACTAGGTCAGTTGATGGACTAGGTCAGTTGATGTAGTAGGTCAGTTGATAGGCTAGGTCAGTTGATGGAAGAGGTCAGTTGATGTAGTAGGTCCGTTGATGGACTAGGTCAGTTGATGGACTAGGTCAGTTGATGTAGTAGGTCAGTTGATAGGCTAGGTCAGTTGATGTAGTAGGTCATTTGATATGCTAGGTCAGTTGATGGAAGAGGTCAGTTGATGGAGTAGGTCCGTTGATGTAGTAGGTCAGTTGATAGGCTAGGTCAGTTGATGGACTAGGTCAGTTGATGTAGTAGGTCAGTTGATGGACTAGGTCAGTTGATGGGCTAGGTCAGTTGATGTAGTAGGTCAGTTGATGGACTAGGTCAGTTGATTATATCTCAGTCCGTTTCCCACATGCTGAACAACCGCGACCCTAACCCCAAACCCCAACCCCAAATGTACAGCTAACCCTTACCCAAACATCAATCCTAACACCAACTCTAAATCTACATCCAACCCTAATCTAACCCTAACAGTGAGGGTGTCAGGACTCTCGAAGACATAGGTTATTTACCCCAACATAACTCTTTGAAGTTAGG